CTGTTGAATTAAATCCTGAAGGAGCTTTGCGGTTGTGCATTAGGTGACCATATTTTATTTGAGAAATTTTCGCATTCAGTCGATCACATCACCAGCCTGTAGGACGGATTCAAAGAACGGGAGGATGTTAAGTGAATAGATAATGTGTGATACTTTTCCAGCTCAGGTAATATCATTTAAAACGCTTTTGACTTGCCACCATTTTGGGCTGGACACATTTTGACCCATTCGTTGAATGCGGCTCATTCTTGCAACACATCAGACATCTGAACAAAGTTGCTTGGATCCGAAAAGCTGAATTGAGACCACCGAATAAAATCTTAGTACCGCTGAAACGAGATATGCAGGTAACACGGTATAGATAGCCAAGAGAAGAATGAAATTGAGGCGCGTGAATTGAGCAGAATACAGTGGAAAATACAAAAATACTGTCGGTTACTAATTAAACCCTAATCTGTTCATTTACGGTCGCAAACCATCATGTTTTGTCACGACGAACGCTGAATATACACTATCCATCATTTTATGCACATTTCGAAAATTTGAGACCAGAGAAATGTTCACAAACTTCATGTATGTGACATTTTGTCGGCTATAAAACCTGACATATCTAATTAGAAAATGTTCCGAGGCATGGAATGACAAGTACACGGCGCATGCCCGTCCGAAAGCATTCTTGCGGCTCACGTACTCAGACGTGTATGCGGTCTTGTGTGCATGGGCTCACCGGAGTATGCTCATCAGCGTCAGGTTGTTGGTTTGTTGCTGAACAAATTCTGACTTCGTCTACATATTGTTAAACCCCAATAGTTTGCACGTTGTTATGTAAATGGCATGGCTCACCAAAACTGGCTGGCTGGCAAAACATGAGACTGTTGCTTGAGAAAGAATATGGGGTCAATCATTGGTGAATTTCGAATTTATAACCCTGAGTATTTGTGGGATTTTGGATGACACGGATCGCTTTGTCCTAAGGATCGATGTACTATTCACTGTGTAGGATTACAGTTACAGTGTATTTCATTTCGTATGTTCTAAATGATTCCATCTCCTCCTCTGAGTCCTCCTTTGCTCTACGCAGACATGCACATTTGGTTGGAAAGGGGCGTCGACTGGGCCTGCGGATGACAATCGAACAAGTTTCATCTACACTTTGGAATGCTGTGGTACGTCTTCATTTTCCTGCAACAAACTTGTATAAAACGTGTCCTACGACACAAATTGTCATAAGTACAGGAAAGGAAACTTGTTCAAGCACTGCTATTTTGGAAGTCCTCTGTGGCGCGCTGCTGAACAAAGTTTTTGCCCGTTCTACTCATTGAAGTGTGCTCAATAACGTCATTAGGTAATATGAGACATAAATGGCTTCCAACAAATTCAAATGGTCAAAGCTCTCCACTCTCAAACAGAAGTCCTTCGGCAATCACGACAATTGCGACGTTCCTCTTAGAATACCGCATGTTAACTCTATCACGTCCAATTATTCGAATTTCACTACAGTTTGGGAATGCACTCTTTGATATCCCACCGAAGAGGAGGTGAATACTGGTGATGGGTTCTGTAGCAGATGTGACTATGTTCACAAGGACCCTTGCATTCTCTCCAGAATTTTTGAGGATGCATTGGTTCTCCCAAACAGCATGATAAACCAGAAACTGCGTTTCAGAGCGTGTATTTATACAATTTACGGTTACTTCGCAGAGAAGACGTTTAATAATTTGCGCACAAACTTGCGTATATCCAAAGTGTTATGCAGCCCATACTTTGCACCGAACTTGATCAATCTGGGCATCAGACATTTGCCAGCTCGGTGAAGGAGGACTGGTTCCTACACCATGACGTAGGGGATGTTGCTGTCTTGAAGGATGGATGAGAAACTCGTTTGGTCTCATCAAGTTACATTGTAAGGAGTGCGGAATAGTGTATTAGTAGCGGGATCTAGACTGTACGAAATTGTGCGGGGTATGTCGGGAGCCGACACATTCCACCTCGATGGCGACAGTCATCTGTACGTTAAACTGAAGTATCCATGTCAGTTTTAGTTCCAGGAACACTAGTTGATCTGCTTCATGAACGATAGTAGCGGATTGTGGGATTCAAGTAATACCGAAATCGGCAGAAGGACTAGCGGTTTTTAGAGGAAATTCAGAAGAATGTGGAAGAATCGCCGTCTGTAGGCGGCTAATTGCTCACGATTTTAGTCAAGTCACCAATATTCGGAGGGACGCGTTGGTTACCGATGCAGACTATCTGCCTGGAGATTCTGACTTTGCATATATGACACTATAAAATAAGAAACAAGTCAATCAAAATCCTACGTGTAAACACCTTGAAACGAAATAGAACGATCGGTTCCGTAATTTGTTTTAAGTTTACCACNGCTCTTGTAATATCAAATATTAGATGCATCTTATGTTAGCGCTTCCTGGGTTACCGCGTTTGTCCTCGGTTGTCCGTGACATTGATGTTCCGGTATTTTCATTTAAACAGTTTGAATTATAAACTCGTTTTCATTTAAATGAAAATCAGTTTGTTCTCCGGCTTAGAATTTCTCTAAAACGGCAACTTGTTTGACACTCACAATGCTGACTTTAACCTGGGTATTTTGGTTGCAGCAAAAGTGTTAAGATTCAGTTTGTTAGCATTGTATGCTTCTTTGTTCTTGACCTTCCCTCTCGAATACGGAAGTTCGTCGGTCCAAGATATTGTTTACAAATTTACAAACCCGTCCACATTCCACATCATCATGCCAATCTTCACTTCAATACTGCTGGTTTCACTCTCGTTTGACTTTGGGTGACATGCTTTATTTTAAATTCAATCAAACAAACATATTTGTTTTCCGCAATCCATGAATTTCTCGTGTACTCATTTCAACCAACGCGCAGTTCAGTCTTCGGTACATGGCTTACAATTCACTTCCATATGCCACTCTGAACCCGTCAGTTTGCCGTATTTTACCATCGTATTTTCTGCTTTAAATGAACTGTCGTTCGCCTCATGTTATTGCCTTTCGCATGTAAATGGAAACGCCATGTTCCTTCTAGTGACTTCCAGAATCCATTCGTTGTTTTCATTCATTAATCGGGTTGGAATGAAAGAAGTGTGCGTGAAGATATTATCTTTGCCATGGTGTCGCAATATCCGATGACAGAATTTTCGCGTCACCAATTTGCTTATCCTGTGACAAAGTTTTACACGCCCGCTGCAATTCGAAACCCACCAACATACCATTATGTTATACTAACTGATTGAAGTATTCCTCACACCACTACCAGCCAATTATCTGATGCGGCAACGGATGACGAATGTCGATTTGTGTGAGAGCAAGCAGTAGACATTGAGGGTGATAGAAAACCGAAAGAAACTTCATCAATTGCGTCCGCACGAAATTGCTTCTTCGCGATGGTTTAGTCAAAGTCATCGAAAAACATCATCGTTGCCAAACAGTTCCGTTGCAGTTGGTTTTATTCTCATACTCCGCCTGAAACTGTCTTCCGCGTCTGAAGATTACCCAAGAATGCACAATGAACTTCTGCTAATAATACAGAGAAGGGCTTTGTGAATGATCGAAATTTAGACCGATTCGTCCATAAAATGGAACCTCTATCAATGGACTCTTTGTGTTGTTATTTAGACAACGTTTGGGGCTGTGTAACGCCCTTCACGGATGTGAGACAGTAAATGTCCTTCCGGAGTTTTCGGATGTAATATGGTGGCATGGCAAACATCACGAATAGTTTTCCCACTCCTCGAAAATAAACAAAACTCAGACTACTCGCCTGTAGTGTTGTCGATTCATAGAATCTTACCGTGGTAGTGAAGTATCGATCAGGAATATTAGGTCAGTATCGCGCACTGGTTCCGTTTCAGCACATTGCGTAATCAAACGGGTACAATTCTCATTGCATATGTTCACAGTGTTGTACGACACGAACCCTTCTCCATTTCAGATCTTCTGCTGAAGTTCATAGTTTGGATTTATTTTGGCCCATTTTTTTGAAAGTTCAGCTTCACACGTGCGTCGTTTTTATTGTCGTGGAGATGATATATCACGATGATCGACAACAAGCATAATATGCGGGTAACTCTTATCATTAAGAGATTCGGTTTTTCAGATACCAAAACGAAATTCGCTGATTTATTTTTTGATGAGACATTGAGTGTCATTTCTATAATACCTGTAGTAATTGGCTACACTGGGAAAATTCCCATTTGAACAGAGGCGTCAATAGCACCCTATGTTTTCAAGCAGTAAAGCACGATGTTGCACCTATCGGGTTGAATTCGGCAGGGCCCTCATGGGGAGACACACTGCTTGATAGTGTTCTCTAAAATCCGCGAGCATCCACATGGGATTCTTGTGCTCTGTCCGAAAAGAACGGGTCAAGCTAGGACAAATTTGGTATATTGAAGTGTGAAAGAACAAAGTGCTTGAGGCGGCGAAATCGGTTTATTATTTGAGGTGCATTGGTGGCAGTCAGTCTTGCGGCCTGTGTTCGCATACGATCTGTCTCCGAATATTTTAAGATAATGTCCGTAATTGCGTTCCAGGTCAATGGACAGTGCAGCAACTGTACGATTTTTCAGGCATTTAGGAAGGTTGATCGCCCATCTTCCAAAGTCATTGAAATTGGAGCAAGCGTCAACTGTAAATTGCATCAAGAATCGAGTGGATTTTGGAACAAATCATCATTGTAAATCCCAGAAACCAGCAGAATTCGCATCTAGTGCAGAGATCGTCCAGAAAATTATTTTCAGAATAGCTTTCAACTTGGTTGTTCATTCGGAATTCCGGCAAATTGGACACGTACACCTCGAACTGATGTTGGTAAAACCATTGGTTGAAGAGATTTATCAGAAGTCGAATCATTGGGAAGATTAACGGTCAGCGCACGTTCGATGAAATAGAATGAGATACAAGAAATATCAATATAGAGGAATGGCAATATGAGGATGTTCCGGTTTCTGGGTAACCGGTGAAAGTGGAACATGCAAACGTGTGGAGGGCGGTACCAGGTCACCCGAGACGACATGCGGCGGGGTGCAGTTATCAGCGAAATTGCCTGGGTCTATGAGGATGTGTTTCTGGGTAACCGGTGAAAGTGGAACATGCAAACGTGTGGAGGGCGGTACCAGGTCACCCGAGACGACATGCGGCGGGCGGGGGTTATCAGCGAAATTGCCTGGGTCTAAAAGTAAAAAAGAATCCAAGTAGCGTTAGATCCAATTGACCACCCAACCCCATCCCCAAACTAATTGTCCCAGCACCCTTGGACGAACAGAGATGAACGAAATCTCTGGACGACCCCAAGAGGTAGTTTCCATTAGGGTGTCCTAGACTGAAGAAGCAGGAACGACTATATCCGGGTTCATCATAAACACGAACCCCCCTTAACCGATCTATCGTAAAGCTTAGTCATCCACACTAATCAACAAATGGGAACATCACACTGAACACCCAGCACTGATCACGTCACTAACCATAAGGAATCTCACGGATTTGTTCCCTGACTGCTTAAGACCCAATCAACCTACTTACTTACTCACTTGGCCTGACAAAGCTTTTGTGTCAAAAGCGAAAAGTTGCGCAGCAATAAATCCACCGATTGTTTACCACACCCCTCTGAAACGATGACCTCCCAATCGGTTCCCAACATTTTACAATTGATTGAAAACATCTACGGAGCATGTGTTCAGAAGCTGTCAAGTGAATGTGTTCGATAGGCAAGATTGGAGGCAAACTGGAAGAACCACCGCATTTTCAACATTAGATGCATGAAGCACAACATAATTCTCAAATCTCTGGTTGTTAAGCCACCAGATGCATCCCCCGCTTCTGCTCGAATTGCTTCTTCAGCGGCCAAGTCGTTCCTCAAACAGAGGATCCATTTAACCACCCAACGTTTAACTGATTTTCGCCACCGCGCATGTCATCTCAACCATGATCTTCAGTCCGCACTCTCGCCTGCTGAATTCGAATTACTAGATACCAAAGCGAAGGAAGTGAAATCAGCTCAAGGCAAACAGTGCAAGGACAGATAAATACGTAAGTTCGAGCAATTGCTTTCTACCACTCGCTGTTCTAGTAACACA